CCCCCCCCCCCTCAGCGCCAACATCTTTCCAGAGCCCTGGCATTGACATCCGTCTGATAAAAATAAAATTAATGGTTAAGTCGTACAGTGTACTTTCAGTGAGTACAAATTTAAAGCCAGTATTGTCTCCCAGATAGAGGCTTCCTGCCTGAAATCAACACACTCTCCGAGGTCTCCACGGACATGAAACACCCAATGCTCCGGATAGCCAGACTGAGCTGTTGTCAAGGTTTTCAGGTCGCATGAGGGAGCTGGGAGGCAATATTAAAAAAATAATAATCTTAGAGTTGAATTTTAGGATTTCATCACTGGCACTGTTAGGGACATCACAAGATACTTTCATCATCTTATTGTGATAGCATCAATTATGTTGGAATATTTCCCCTCACCTTTTGTTTTGGTGACAATGCTAAACATTTGAATTGTTGGTCACAAGATTTGCGCGGGCTTCTGCAAACTGGTTTTGCATCAAGCCCCTGCTTATTCCTAACCGACGACGGCAACCAATAAATAGGGCAAATCATTAAAAAAAAAGAGGGAACCGGAAATAAACCTGAACAAAAACATATATACAGTAAACTCTCCGTTATCTGGTATTCAACTAACTTGAGCTCTCATCTAACCAGAAAAAAAGCCCCTTTTTTTTGTGTGTCTTCATTTGCTTTTGATTACTGCATTTCAATATTAAAGGAAAGTCAATTCAGAGTTTATGTTATGGTATAGTATAGGGCAGCGTTTTTCAACCACTGTGCCGCGGCACACTAGTGTGCCGTGAGATATTTTCGGGTGTGCCGTCAATAAATCGTTAATTTCTTTGATCGATCAAAATTATTTTGATCGATCAAAGATACTCACCTCTCCGCCGGCTTCCGGGTCTTCCGTCGGAGATCCGGTGACGTCACGGACATCGACGTCACCGGACTCCTCCCCCCTTCCCCGAGTGGCTCTGTCGGCTAACGAAGGGAAGGGGGGAGGAGTCGGGCTTCTCCCTCGGCCCTGGCCACGCCTCCTCGTACACCCGGCAGCTCGCTTTCAGGCCCCATCAGCGGCGCGCTGCCGGGTGTGCGAGGAGGCGTGGCCAGGGCCGAGGGAGAAGCGGCCCGGCCGTCGGAGGCTGCGGTGCC